TGTGAAAGATATTTCAAAAATACTTACATGCTGAACGTGAAAAAGGAAACAGACATCCCAGTAAAATCCAAAGGTTGAAGGGGAGAAAATGGAAGATATAAATGTCATTACTTGATGGCAATAACTGTAACAATTTTCTGAAGACTGAAATATAAATATTACATACCTTCACCACATCAACCCAGTTCCAACCTCGAGGAAGTTCTCCTTTGTGATCTAAAGGATGAAAACAGTAACTTTATATCTAAGACCAATCAGTAATACTTAAATTTAAATAAGATTTTATATACTACTCTACATAACAAATGTATTAAAAATTTAAATAATAAAAGGTCCTTGCTTACTGAAGTGAGAAGTTGTGTCAGTTTGCTCTTTTGTGAGTTAGTGTTCATACCAGGAAGCAGGCTCAAGACAAGAGGCCTTCTCAACACGTCTGCCTGCAAACCTAAGAGGAGGCCGGGCCAACTTATTTATTAACTGCTGTGCTCTGGTAAAATATCCATTATTTAATCTGACATTCTTTAATCAGGGCTTTAATCTGTTGGGAGCGCTTAAAAGCAAGCTCAACCCTTGTATAAGAATTTATAGTTTATGAAGTAATTTCACTCTTTTAATAGAATATTCAAATTTGAAAAATAGTTTAATAGATGTAGTCTAAAAATTTTCAATCTAAAATGTCTTGATTTCCTCTTTGCTTGATGTACCTATATATGTCTTATCTTATGAAACCTTCAAAATCTGCATTCAAATCAAGGACACTAATTGTATAGTAAGAGAAACAGAAACTAACCCTGTGATTCTTATAGGAGAAAAGCTGTATCACTGGAGCTCAATTTTAGATGCTAATGGCTCTTTTCTCCTTCATGCCAATAAGAATCTTATCTCACTGGTTACTGGTTATAAGGGGGAACGGGGACAGATCACCAATTTTGGTAACCAAAACTTACCCACAATGCCACGACTGTCCCATTAAAGTTTTATTTAGAATGCAAGTTTCAAGTCACAAGCTCCTGCACCATACTTATAGGAAGATAAGGACTTTTAGGTGGGCATCACCAAGGAGAGGGAGGTAGGGAGATAGTAATGAAAGGGAACAACTGTAGGTCATTACGTATGAAAGCAACAGTAACAAACTAACTGACATATATGTTAAGATATTCTGAAAAGAGATGAACCAAAATTCTAAAAAACAGATTATAATGGCTAACAATTTACTGCTTCAGTTGTTTACACTTTAATGCTGCTTTGACAGTAGGTATAATGGAGTCCCAGGTTTTCTATTTCATAAACCAATATGATCTCAAAAAATGTATTCTGAGGGCCAACACGGTTGCTTTCTTTTTATTTTGCCACAAATGACATTAAACAAAACATAAACAACCAAAAACTACCATAACTTTATAAAAGAAAGGGTATTATTTTAAACCTCTTCACCAAAGTAAAAGGGTCACTTCTTTTAATAAAGGGCAGCTTGTAACCATACAGCAATAACACACACATACAAACGTTAAGTATACGTACACACTTGTGTATGTGGATAGAAATAGCTATACGCACACATGATAATGTCCTCACTTTCCTTACCTGGGAAAAAAGTTTACAGATTGATGTCAATTTGCAAAGTTTTAGGTTAAATAAAGAAAAAGGACCAAATATATATTCTTAGATCTTGTTGTATAAGTAAGTCAACTACAGACGAAAACACTAAATTATTTATTGTGTTAAGATCTGATGGTATCACAGACTTCATTTCAAATAAAAGCTATATTTCAAAAAAATTTCAAAAGCACTTATCTGTCATAAAGGTAAACAAACAGGAAAATTCCAAACATGTCAGAGAGGGTACCAGTAGGACGCACATCTATACACTATTCTAATGGTCTACAATCTTCAGACTCATTGATAGTTACTTTGCCACTTTACCTTCTTCTCAAATGTTTATCTCTTGTGGTAAAGTAGTAGTAAATATTTTCAATATACGTCTGTGACCTAAAACAGTCTCTGATCCAAATGTTCCAAGAATGAAGAGTATAGCGAACTAATCTTCTAAATCTAAATATACTTATTAAGCATCCATATCATACCAAAAAGCAACCCAGTTATGTGTGTTATAAAAGAAAAAAAAATAACACAAACCTGTTTTATCTGCCAGCTTACGTTTCTGGGCTTTTGAGAGTTGTTCTTTTTTGTCTTTTTTCTTACTTGATGGGGCTGTGTTAGGAGTTTCAACTGAGATGATATTGCTTATGGACGCCTAGAAAAAAAGAACAAATTCTTAGACTCAAGCCTTAAAACTTACTGAATTACACTAAATATGGCTATATCCTGAAATGAGTTGACAATTTTTAGGTTTGTGAAGTAAAAGAATCCTTTATTATTGTATTCATTTATTAGATCAGGAACCTTAGCACATTATTGGTTTCACTCTCCTAAAAGTTCACATTGAAGGCCATAATATTAGTTATACTGTTATAACCAGGTCCCTGAGAAACAAGATCTGATACCAGGATTATGCTGAAGCTCTGAAGTGCCAAGGTAATTTTACAATTCAGTTAATACGCTATTATTTGAAAGTTAAATATGTCTTTAGAAAAATCACATATGCCTACTTAGAACCTCCAGGTTCCCAGAGGAAATGAAGGAAATTTTTTAAATATCTGGAGTCACGTAGTCAGATAGACAGAACTTAAAATGCTCACTATGTGCCAAGCATTGCCGTAAATGTTGCACAGCTATCACTCATTTGATCCTTAGTACAATCTCACGAGGTAGATACTATTATAATCCCCATTTTACAAATGAAAAAACTGAGCACAGAGACTAAGAAACTGCCCGAAGTCACACGCAAAGGAGTGCATGCTCAGGGCCATGAGGTCTGGCCCCCGGTCCAGGAGCTCTCGCCCTCACTGTTTCTCCAGCTGCCTGCCAGCGTCTACTTGTGTTCACGGGGAACATGGAAGCCAGAACTGCTCGTGGCCTTTGGTTTACAAGACAAAACTCAACTGATACTGACCACTGAAAGTCTTGGAGTGCATGACCTGGTGCAAAGGGGTCTAACACATACCTGCTTAAGGTCATAAAAGATGATTATTTCCTAAAATAATTCTAAAAATAAAATAATTTTTTCCTATTTAAGGAAGTCTCCTTAAGCTGCAACACTTTCCAACTGAACTGTGGCAGGGCTACTTCCAACTAAATAAGCCTCATGGAGAAAGTACGTAATTTCATATGTATTTCAGCACTATGTAAGAAATCTTCTATCTGAGCTTTATGAAGATGTTAAATAAACTTGAAAAAGTATTTGGTTCTACACAGCTCAGTTCTGGCACACCCGTGAAGTATTCTAGGCTTATGTGACGGGTAAAATCTAGAGAACATGATTTCATTTTTAAAGATAAGCAGACACTAAGAAATCTAAAATTCATTGTTCTTATTTAACTCAGATGTGACTATCATTTTAAATCTAACACAAAGTCTCCCTCCAATTTTTAAAAAATAATAACTAGCAAAAATGAATTACTAGCAGAGTGAAACCAAATCAAAGTATGGTGAAACTGAATGCCCTGCTCACAGCCGAATGGACAGGATGGTGATTCTCCATGAGCTGCTCTTTGCTGTCCTTGGCATATTCAAACAATGTGTAGGTCATGGCTGTCCCGAGATTGACTTCCACTGCTTCCTGCAACTTGGCTAATATGCTCTGCTTTACAGCTGATGATCTGTAATGCACAAGATATACATCGTTAAGAGAAAAGTAAGAGAGACAGTTACCCTGCCCCTGCCCCCCAACAAAAAACACCTCATGAAAACGAAACACTACTCACATGGTGTTGTTAAAAAAGGCGTTCATAGATATGATTGGAGGTGTCTGGGGATAGGTTTCTGTCCAGGAAATCTCTATTAGGAAGGCTTTGGGATCACCGTTTTCACCTATCTGAAGAAAAGGGAAATCTTAGGCTTGTAAAAAGTGCTACAAAGGCAGAATATTAAATGATGATCTTTAAAATGCTGACTTCTTTCCGATGCTCGTGATCAGATCAGTCATGTCATATTTTGAAAAGTTCCGGGGTATGGGCTAAGACCCAGCAGAGGGTGAGGGCTCAGTCTTTTATTAGTCTGTCTTTTTTTTTTTTTCTTTTTTTGTGGTACCTTGGAAGATTTTTTTCTTTTTTTGTGGTACGCGGGCCTCTTACTGTTGTGGCCTCTCCCTTTGCGGAGCACAGGCTCCGGACGCACAGGCTCAGCAGCCATGGCTCACGGGCCCAGCCACTCCGCAGCATGTGGGATCTTCCTGGACCGCCCCTGCATTGGCAGACGGACTCTCAACCAGTGCGCCACCAGGGAAGCCCTATTAGTCTGTCTTTTAACTCACTCCTAGGCTGTTTTAAACAGCTTTAGCTGATGTCCATGGCCTGTCTTTCTCATCAGCCCTCCAATCTTTTCCAGCCCCAAGATTATGTCTGATACATGTATTTTTTTGTTTCATCAAAGCTTTCTGAGGACAAAGATAAGACATCAACTATGGGAACAAGAAGAGAATGGACAAAAATGAAAATCCACAAACTTGAAACACATCATTTTTGTCTTAAGTTTTCCAATTGCTAAATCATAAGAGGCTTTAAGAACAGGTAAATTGATATGCATTAGCACGAACCCAAGAAAGTAGAAAATGAAATGTAAAATTTATAGAAAAAAGGAAAGGGTAGAGAGATAAGGAAAAGGAGTGCCTTAGGCTGGACAGCAACTCCTGAAAAAGTTTTAAAAAACTTTAGGGACTTCCCCGGTGGTGCAGTGGTTAAGAATCCACCTGCCAATGCAGGGGACACGGGTTCGAGCCCTGGTCCAGGAAGATCCCACATTCCGCAGAGCAACTAAGACCATGTGCCACAACTACTGAGCCTGCACTCTAGAGCCCGCAAGCCACAACTACCGGAGCCCACATGCCTAGAGCCCGTGCTCCGCAACAAGAGAAGCCACTGCAGTGAGAAGCCCACGCACTGCAACGAAGAGCAGCCCCCGCTCGCCGCAACTAGAGAAAGTCGGCGTGCAGCAACAAAGACCCAATGCAACCAAAAATAAATAAATAAATTGATTAAAAAATTTTTTTTTAATTGAGGTATAATTGACATACATTATATTACTTTCAGGTATACAACATGATTCAATATTTGTATATATTGCAAAATGATCACCACAATGAACCTAGTTAACATCCATCACCACACATGGTTACAATTTTCTTTTTCTTGTGATGAGAACTTTTAGGATCTACTCTCTTAGCAACTTTCAAAGTACACAATAGGGTATTATCAACTGCAGTCGCCATGCTGTACATTACATCCCCACGACTTATTTACTTTATAGTTGGAAGTTTGCATCTTTTGATCACCTATTTGACCTGAATTTAAGATGTCTTTTCTATTTCTTTTGCTCTCCCCAGCTTTTTATTTTGAAAACTTTTACAGAAAACCTAGAATAGAACAATGAACATTCACTGACACGTATCTTATTCGCCACATACCTATTATTCCACCTGCCTTCTCTTTCTTCCACTACAGGACCAACTCCCTTTCCCCAATGTATGTGATTTTTTTCCTTTGGCATTTGTTGAACCATTTGAAAGTAAGCTGCAGACATCATGAAATGTCCTTAAACTAAAGTATCCTAAGAATAAGGACCTTCTCCTTTATAACCACAAAACCATTATCACACCCAAGAAATTCAACATTGATACAAAAATATTATCTAATTCATAACATATTAAAAGTCACCAATCACATCTAAAGTGTCCTTTAACAAAGCACTCCCTCAACCCCCAAATCCATAATCCGTTGAGGATCGTGGATTATATCTGGTTGTCAGATCTCTTTATTCTGTTTTGATTTAGAACAGTCCCCAGTACCCACCCCACCTCCTAAATGTCTTTCATGACAAAAAGAACCTAGGCCAGTTTTCTTGTATAAGTCCCCAGATCAGGACTCACTGTTTCCTCTGTTCAGATTCAGACTAAACGTCTTTGGTAAATGGCTTTGATAAAGATACTGGGTAGGGGATGTGGTGTACTCCCCCAGCACCAAATAATGAGGCACATAAGATCTTCCAGAATCATTAGTGGTGATACCAAGTTTGATCACTTGGTTAGGGTGATATTCTCCAGACCCCTTCAATGGAAAGGTATCTTTTTCATTTTGTAATTACGAAGCAATCTGTGGGTGGTACTACAAAACCATGTGCGTAGCTTGTTTCTCAACAACTTTTCACCCAAAGGTTTCAATATCCGTTAAGGATTCTTGCCTGAAACAATCATCACATTGGTTGTTGCAGAATGATGATTTTCGAATAAAACTATGGAATGATTCATGAATCGGCATCTCATTCTTGCACAGGGCAATGCTAATTTCTTCTGTAGTATTTTTAGTATATGTGCTGCTTTGTGGGTTTTTAAATACTTAATATTAAACATCAGTCAAAAGACTTAAAAAATTTTCACCCCAAACTGTTACTTGACTCACTTTTATTTTCTGACCACTAATGTTTTTATTCACATCTCCTTACCCTCAATCATACCCCACATCAATATAAGGTGAGGCCTAGAAATTATGTCAAATAAACTTCGGGATCTGTTGCTATACTTACATAAGTTGATTACCTGCATAACGGACGTCATCGGTTTATGCTTGTGTTTTAAGTAGAGATAATTAAAAAGCAATAAAAGTGGTGGGTGGGATGAATTGGGAGATTGGGATTGACATACACACACTAACATGTATAAAACAGGTAACTAGTAAGAAGCTGCTATATAGCACAGGGGACTCCACTTCGCTGTAGAGTAGGAAAAAAAAGTAATAAAAGTTACTTGCTTTATGCAGTCACTAAATCCTTACTCAAAGTGTAAGTAGAAACAAACTGCCACACGCCTCACACTGTGCGTTACCCAAGAGACAAGACCACTACTGTCTTCAAGGGAGACAGACCTTCAGACCCTTTTTAAACAAAGGAGTGGGATAACTCATTCTGCCTCATACTAGGCAGCTAGTAGCAGCGGGAGGCCTAGTGGTGAAGCATCACCAGGGAAGCTGCCGTAAGAACAGAAAAGGGAGAGTCACTGAGAAGGCTGCTAACCTTGTCTGTGCAGGAACCCAGGGTGTGACCAGGACTCAGCCAGAACTGAACCCCAGGTGCTGTGACTCAGCTCACTGTGTCCAAACGTCACCCTTCATTGCCCATAAATCCATCCTATAGGTCGCATCAGAGTGTCCACCCGACGGGACACACACACGTCCTACAGCATCCTGTATGCTGTGTGCTCAGTGAGTAGCTGCTGGCGTTAGCACGGACATTTGGGGAAGTACAGGGGGCTCTCCCATTTGCTAGGGGACAGGGGCCGTGGTTGGGAATGTCTGCGGGGGCCGGCTAGATTCAAACAGAAGGGCCCAGGGCTTACCTCCACTGTTACCTTCGGCCATTAAAAGTCTCTGCTGTATATACGTGGAGTGGTGTTAAGGACTGTGGAGCTTGAAAGGGAATTGAGAAGCACTGAGAAGAGAAGGGAGTTTCTAAAAAAAAATAACTATAAGGGATTTACTTCCTGTGAAGTCGATAGCAATCACGTATAAGGACCATTTCTCAAACTATTTATTTATTTATTTATTTATTTTTGTGGTATGCGGGCCTCTCACTGTTCTGGCCCCTCCTGCTGCAGAGCACAGGCTCCGCATGCGCAGGCTCAGTGGCGATGGCTCACGGGTCTAGCCTCTCCGTGGCACGTGGGATCTTCCCGGACCGAGGCACGAACCTGCGTCCCCTGCACCAGCAGGCGGACTCTCAACCACCGCGCCACCAGGGAAGCCCATCAAACAATTTATTTTAAATGGTGACAATGTTAACGACCATAAATCTTGCATAAGTCTTTTATAAAAAAAGTTTTCCATACCACCCACTACTACTTAAAATCGTTCAGATAAACGGTTTATGTTATTTATTTGTAACATAAAATACTGGTACTGTTCCACGTTGAAAAAGTTATATTAAAGAAAAATTGACATTTCACATACTCATAAAATATTCACGCACATTGGTAATACAGAATTAAGAAAATATCAACTTTTCTTGACTAAATTATAGGGTAGTAAAAAGAATGCTAGACTTGGACTAGAGACCTGGATTTTAATCCTAACATTTATCAATATCAGCTGTGGGAGCTTGGGAAGTTAGGACTCAGAAGTTATCTTTAAGATTAGAAGGTAAAACCACATAATTTCTAATGTTTCTTCTAACATTTTAAAATTCTCTTACAATAAAAATGTTTATCTTAGTTTTTTAAAGTTTCTGAATTAAGTTTTCAAAAGTTGAAAATAACTCATGTCATGGTGATGAGTTTTCATTTAAATGCTTCAGCAAATCCAAAGACATAATGTAAACCACTAACTTAAAAAAAAAAAACCCAAAAACCCCCCCAGCATTTTAAAAAGCAACTTTCGTCTTTTCCAACAAAGTAGTAAGTGCCTCTATTCATGCCAGGTCTTACCCTATATTGAAATGAAACCGGACTTAATTCCCGGAAACTTTCATCTCCTTCATAAATAGAACGCAATGCCTCCAGCTCCATCTGAAAGAAATGAATCACAGGAGAGTTGTTTAGTCATATAAACGGATTAGAAATAGAGGATCTTTCGTTTCTGGTTCAAGCCCACTCAACAGCGTAAAACTTGGCTGACTTACATGGCGTTCGACGTTTATGACCCAGGTGCGTATACTAACACATCACAATCCTAATCTTTTCTTTAACACTATGTGCCAAGCACCGCTAAGCATTTTGCAGTGGATTATCTCACTTAATTCTCACATCAATCCTATGAAGATCTTACTGTTTTCTCCTTCCTACTAGGGAGGAAAATAAGATTCAGTTTAAAGGCAACTCCAGAGCCTGTGCTTTCTCACTCTGCTAAAGGCTAGCCTGGGGTAGAAAGAACATTAAACTTGCGGACAAGAAGTATGAAACACAGTCATTCTCCATGATTTACACATACTATTTATATTTGTAATCCCTACCACAGAAGAATACAAAACTTGAAAAAACACTTACGGACAATAAAAAGAACTTTTAAAAAATGGTAGTTAGAAAGAGACTGACAAGTATCTATCCAAGATGGGAAAAAGGACTGCAAGAGAAAATGTAACTAGCAATCCTTGGCTGGAAATACTTCTTAGAATGCTGTGGGCTTACAAATGAGAAGACCCAATCACTGTCATGATTACTGACAAAGACCTCAGAAGAGGTAAAGAAAAGAAAGACTGCACTTCCACAGATATTTTAGTTTTCAAAAAGATGCATGTTGAGAATTCTACAAACTACAGGATGGTGAGTTTGACCTACATGGACAACATTTTAAGACAGATCATTAAAGAAAGAGTTTGCGAGGACCCAGCAGAGTTAAGAAGTAGCCCCTACGACACGGCAAGAATATGAAAAACAAGATATATGTTCACAACCCTTCTTAGGGAGGGTGACTGGATTGGTACATTAGGGAGAGAGACAAAACA